TTAACTCCTTCAGCCTATTTTCAGCTGCAGAAACCATTATACTATTACATTATTCAGCTATTTCAGGACATCAAGGCTATACATGTTTGTTTAAACCTTTTCTTTTAAATATTAAGCTTTTTCTCCATTTTTGTAGCTAAAAGCAGCTACCATTCAGCTAATAACATTCAGCTTTTTCTGCATTTTCAGCTAAATTCAGCCACAAATGTTCACAGTTTACAGCATTCGCACGCATTTTCTGCAGGAAATGCATTTTCTAGTTACTTCTGTCTTGTGATGCGGTAGAGCTACAGTGGTGTTAAAGTGGCTTTAATAAAACCAGATATGATGCCCCACATATCATTCTTGCGGTCTGACTCAATAGAATTAGGCAGTAGTGAGCTTTTTCAACATATGCTAACTTTGTCATCATCAAACAGTACATCTCTGCCCCTGTTGACATAAGTTGTACATAGCTGTCGAGTTAAAATAACATGTTTTATTTCTTTACATTTCTTTAAGGCCTAGTCTTAGAGAGTGGGGCTCCTTTTAAAGAGAATAATTAACATGAAGCGCAAGTACATTTGGATTTTAGAAGTCAACTGTAGTTCTTAAAAGGTTTGTCTACACCAGTAATATTCAGGCATTGGAGTAAAGAGGGCTTACATTTGAATTGTAAATAAAAAGCCAGATGGTACCTCAAATGTTCAGTAGGGCCACAAATCAGGCATTTAAACACACTTTTTCAGCTTGGCAAAAGTAACTACTTCTGAGATCTAATTCAAACGATCGTTTTCACCTACAAAGGGCTTAGTCTAATTCAGGACAAAATGCAGCCTTTTCCGTCAAAGAACTTCATTCATGGAGGGGAAACAGTGAATGACTGCCTTCCACGAAAAGCCATGGTCAGTGAGGACAAAAGGGCCAGGGTCAAAAGTAGACTTTGGTCAAAATGCATCGACTTCCTCCACTTGGATGTCTGTTAAGTATTGGAAGTAGAATGTATACTGTCCTGTGATCATATTTCGAAATGTAAAGAAACTCCCTAAAGAGATTTCCCTTTACAGCCTATCGTTAGCCAAACCAATAATATACCGTACTTTTCGCGTTTTAGTTCCGTGAGTACCCCTTATGTCGCGTTCACACCAAAAATCGTACTTAATCTCGGGTACTTTTACCCCCATTTTTAGAGCCAGCTCAGAGAGCGTACTTTTCTGTGGGTGAAAAGTGCTCCAAAAGTGCCCCAGTGCTGATTGGCTGGGCGAATTGCAAACCACGCCCGTACAACTCTGAAAATGTTGTGTGGAGACGCCATTGTTTTTCCTCGCTACAAAAACACAACGCTCCGTGCGTTGTGTTTGTTTTTGAAAGCAGTTATGGCAAGCATCAAGAAATGATGAGGAGGTGTCGGCGCTTCTGGAGATCTACGCCGAGGAGGCGACCCAGGGAATGCTACTGAAGCCAGTTCGGTAGCTTTCACTCGACCTGGGAATTGTGCACAGCCGGCTAAATATAAAGAAACTCAGGACGATAAACGGCGGATTCAGTGGCCAACGATGACTACCACGACGAAGGTAAAATCAACTACATGCACTGGGGTTTTAATCTGCACAATAATGGTCTCAGATGTACTTTTATTTGCTCAGTAGATCAAGCTAGCCATGCTAGCCATAATAGGCTAACACCGGCCCCGAGCTAGCTACATCTAGCTAGCTAGATATTCTCGGCCGCTATGAAAACGTTTTGACTTGTGAATAACTGTGCAGTGTTTCTGTAATTTGCTTCACTAACTCATGGCACTAATCGTCTGTTTCAGGCGAGGATGGACAACTCTCGGGATTGGAAACAAGCGAGCTTTGCATTCTAGATCACAGTTCTTGGTCGTCCTCCTTACCAGCAACCAAACGCAAAGGTACACACACTGTAACTTTGTCTTGAAAGAACGTTACGCATCGAACTGATGTTCACAATCATGTTTATTTCATAATATTCATCATATTTTATGTTTAACTTGCCTCAACAACATTAAACAAAGTTCAAGCATACATGAAGCACTCTTCAAAAAGGAACAATCCTCCGTGTTTGAACCTCTTAAATCGCTGCATAGCCGATTTATTTGGACTGGATTATCCCAGAGAGGCCAAACATTCTTTATAACACAGTTTCAGATTTGTGAAACCTTAATTCTATTTGTGAAAATACAAAAAACACATTCCTAGTATGTTGTAAAACTACATGGCGACTAAACAGATCTTGTATATTGCTTATTTTCCCCTCTTAGGAAAGCGGACACGGGATGCGAATTTCTTTGACACCGCCCAGGCGTTGGAGGACCGGCGTGCCGTGGTGAATGAGTCGCTGCGTGGAGATCAGATGGTGCTGTTCACCAAGGCCCAGGAAACGGAGGACAAGATGCTCACCTCGATGGAGCGCCAGGCAGAAGTGTTCAAGCAGCAGATGGAGCGTCAGCACCAGGATGAAGTGTGGGCGCTGCGCCATGAGGAAGCGTCGGCGCAGCGGCAGGATGAGCGACAAACTGCATTTAATAACAGTTTATTTGGTATAGTTTTTGTAAATACTGACACACGACACACAACGTTGCACTAAGGTGTGTATGCTGCTGAGAATATCCCTACACCTGGGACAGTTTATTTTATATTGTTATTACTGTTATGACTTTATTTTATATATAATGTTTACTGACATGTACAACTGACACTTTATTTACATTTAAAATTGTTCTATTTAATGTTATGTCTTGAGAGTGCAATAAAGAAAACCGACATGGCGATTAAGCTTATTTCTCCTGACACTTTATCTTTTGTGACCTGTGTAGCATCCTATACATCACATGTAAGTGATTATTCTGATACCATCATGTTTCATCGGTTATAAACTGGCAAAGCTTTATTTGTCATTTATTTATCATCAATGTTGCAACCTTGTGGGGGAATGGCAGGGGCACATACACAAATATGATAATTTATATCATTTTAAATATTATTTGACCTAAACTTTTAATTCCCCCCCATTTCACAAAACACAACATGGAGTCCACTATGGGCCAAAACTAACATGTATGTTTGCATAGTGTTTATGGCAGACGGATGCAGTGGGTCTCAGGAAGATATATAATAAAGGTGGGTTTGCTGCTGAGACTATCCCTACACCTGGGAGTTTATTTTATATTGTTATTACTGTTATTATATAGTACAACTGACACTTTATTTTATATTGACAATGTTTACTGACATGTACAACTGACACTTTAGTTACATTTAAAATATTTCTATTTAATGTTATGTCTTGAGAGTGCAATAAAGAAAACCGACATGGCGATTAAACAGATCCTGTATCAGCCATCCTACGGTGAAACATGGCAATCATGTGTGCTTTCCGTCGGCCAATCCTTTTCCTAAAGCTTTTGAACTGCCTTTGATGCTGAAGAAATTTGCGATTATAGCATTCGACGTGTGGCGGCTCCGGATTTTTGTCGGACGCCTAATAGGCTCAGGCTCTTGCCGCATTAACGAAGTTACAAAGCTGTATAACATGAGCACAAACAGCACAACTTCAGTCGACTCCATCTCCATCATGTCTGAGGTCGGAAGGTAAACAACAGACAGTATACGCGGGAAGTTTTTCTTCTTCTTCTTCTCTTGTTTTGTAGCGGATTGCAAACAACTTTAAGGTGCTTACCGCCACCTACTGTACTTGTAATCTTCCCTCAGGGAAAAGTACTCAGGTGTGAACGCGATCTGTACTAAGTGCCCTGGGGTTAAAAGCGCCAGGGCTCTTAGTGCCGGAACTAAGTACAGGAAAGTACTTGGTGTGAACGCGGCTAATGCAGGTGTGTTGGGGAGAATCTTGCCACATCCTTCCACGGTGCAGAGGATGTTCGTCCTCACTTCTTTGGTCAGCTCCGTGATGGTAGGTTTAATTATTTCCCGTGACTGCGACAGAGACTCTTCATGGCATCTCGGACTGTCTTTAGTGGCGTTACCTCTGTTATTCGCCCTGCTCGTCGCAGAAGCAGCCATGTTTCTATGTTGACAGTCCGTTTGTTTTCTGCTGAGACCTCCAGCAGCATCATTGAATTAACATTGGCATGTCTTCCCTCAGCTTTGCCTGAAAGGCTGCAACACTCCACTATTAGCACGACTGAACCAGCTGATCTTACGTCACACCCGGTTTAATGACGTGCTTCCGTTTTACAAGAAACAAGTAAACCATCAAACTAAAGTTTTCTAATGTGGCTGACTCCTTTAATATGTTTATGATATGACTAATGCACTGCTATGTTTGAAGCACTAAAACTGCATTTTTCTTCTAGAAGCTGTAACTCATTTTTTCAAACAAAACTGTTGGTATAATATAGTTTGATCTCACACAGACATTTTCTAGAAATTGTTTAAATCAAACCGACTTTTGTAGGTTGTAGCCGATAGCAAAAGAAAAAAAGAAAAATAGAATCCAGATTAGCCATTCCATAGCCTAGCTCTACAGAGGAACCAAAGAGAACTGATGGTTATTATAACAGCCTGTTTTCATTTTATTGTTAAAGGGAGGTATCACAGATCTACCGTATAACATAAGGAGTGGTCATTGTGGGTTAAACATGGGGGGCTATTGACAACATAGACTGTAACTTTGGAAAATACTCAATTGACATGGCTAAATCTTATGAGCGTTGGGTATTTTGATCACAGTGTAGTTGTGATGAGAAGAATCTCTTTGTGGCCAGCTTGCACAGGAGACTCCAGTAACTGTTCTATGCACATATGGGAATGCAAGTACAGTTTCAAGACAAACCTGAAAAAAGTTTGAACTTATCCTTTAAAAACGTTGTGCTGAGACAATGGAGCTTAAATAAACCCTGTAACATCGACTGTAAACGCCAAATTATGAGGAGCGTGAATACCAAAGTTCACTCTCACAAGCCGTTACTCCACAAAACAATGTTATAACACTATATCTGATGAAAAATACTTGAAGTTGAAATGACAGGAAGAGGATACAAGTTACAAACTTCAAAACATTTTTATTTTTTTAAAACAGCTTTATATTCAATTTGGGACATATATTTCATAGAAATAACATTCTTGCACTAAAACACTAACAAACATAAAAATGACAATTATCGATTGTCAACTAATAAGATATTTTCAACTGGGTAATAAAGGTACATTCATTTCTACAGATCTTGGAGGGGCAGTGGCTCTTGAACAAGGAGATTGATGATAGAACAATAAGAGCAAACCCTGGGTTGACCAGACATGGCGCCATGCTTTGACTCCTTTAAAATCAAGTTCCTGTCGCCCATCAGTTCTGTGTTTGGCGCATTTGTGAGGAAGGACCAGGTCCATTGTCTGTGATGACAAAATAATTCTTTCCTTTTAGGGGTATAGCTGAAAGCAGAGGTGTGACTGGGGTGGATGCAATTCCTGTAAAAAAAACAAAATTACCGTAAATTATTTTTGATTGATTTAAGAAAAACACTTTGAATGCACCGACCAAAATATTCATGATAGATAATGTCACAAGAGCATTACAGAGGGGATAATTCAACGTGTGTTTATGTGCCCTCGTGTGGTCATTTATGGAAATTGCAGAATTATGAAACATTCAATAGTTTTTTATTTTAAAATGTTAGTATAATTTCCTTTCTAAAAACATAAATGGCTGTGACAAATACCTGAAGATGCGCAGTTTTTGAGTGACTCCAGGAGGTTTGTGCTGGAAAATTTGACAACACATCTGAAGGGCTCCTCTCGCTCCGTCATGAGTGTGTTGGTGTGGTCTCTGAACTTTGTCTCCAGCTGAGTAAAGATTACAGAGCATAAATTAGATGATCACAGCACCAAGTGATGCTGACTGTGTGCAATTCATGCCTTTTGTTTACTAGACTTTGATACTTAGCTATTAAAGATGAAGCTAAGTATTTTAATACACAAAGCATGCCTCGGGATACCTTGTAAACTGCAGACTGTAGCTGAGGTAACGTCCCACCACCAAAGGCCTCACAGGCCATCTGAAGTCTGTTTGCTGCAGGCTTAGCTTGTTCTCTTTCTACGTGTGGGTCTGTAAACAGAATGAAAGCCAAACATATCCAATCACATTGCAAAAATCAACCAGAAGTACATGTTAATGCCAAATATACATAGCTAAACAAACAATGTTAAAGTATGTGTAACATAATATGAAAAACTGGCTTTTGGTCATGATGATTTGATAAACATACTTGTGACTGTTTGTTTTCTTTCTGTGAGAGGGCTGGGATACTTGGTGGGGAAGACCTTAAAATTAGAACAAAAAACATTTCAATTTTGTTTTTTCCTGTACAGTGGTACTCTTAATTGCATGACAATTCTGACAGTAAAATAAATAGGTTTACAGCAAATCCATAATTCAACTTTATTTTCTAAATCACTGGAAGTATTGTGAACCCTCAAAAAAAGGGGTGCAATGGGTAAACTTGAACGAGAAATTAGCTCAACAACATGATTGACAATTGATGTATACTGTAAAGCCTTTTGATAAAAACTTCCCTTTTTTAATGGCAAATATCTAAATGACATTTAAAATGACATTGTAAGTATTATTTAAGTTCTGTGTTATTAATATTAAAAAAAAAAAACTTCCACTACAAAAATGATACATTGCCATTTCGGAGCAATTTTAGGTGGTCAACAATGTAAATAAGATATTAAAGATGCATTAAAGTCATAAACTATTCATTTTGGAAGTGTTTGTGTCAGGACACTTCTTAACACATGGAAGTAATATTTGGACTGGGCATACAGAGCTTTGTGTGGTGTGTGTGTGTGTAGTTGAAAAACACCTAACCTGTTGATATTTCCTCATCAGCAGGTCCCTAATGGCAGTGAGATTCCGGCCACTGAGGTTGGCATCCTTGAAATATTGATACCTGGTGGACAGAACCATGGCCTGTAAAGAACATACATCTGTTAAACGGGAATGGAAAGACAAAAGAAACAACAACCTGGTAACCAACTATATAAAAGTGAACCCTCACCTGGGATAACATGGGCTTTTGCTTTGAAGTCAGACGGGTCACAAAGACATATGGTGTTTGAAGATAGTGAACAACATATGTTGGTTTGAGATGGTCGGGGTGAGAGGAGGCGTCTCCCCATGCAATCCGAATCCAAACGGCTTCATCTGTGTTTTTTTATTTTGATGGACACCTTGAATGCAATGTTTAAATCATACTTTAAATATAGGATGTTAAACGGTGATATCTTTCAATGTTGAAACGTTATAGTTTATATGATTTTGCCGTGTGAGGAGGAATATTGGACTTACTTCTCTCACAAGTTCTCTTAGGTGAGATTTAAATTGTTCCTTGAACTGCGTCAGATCTACAGATTGAGCATCATCTGTGGAAAAGGGAAATTATTAAATAGACAATACGGGTTTGCAAAGTAAATTAAAATGTATCCCAATAATGTTTTAAATCCCTGGAACAAACAGATAAAGAATACATGTGTGACAAGACCATATCATCAATTAACCCTACACTATAACTAACCAAACTGGCGCCAGCCAGGTACCCAAAAAAAAAAGTCGTATGTTCAATAAAGGTGTATTTTTGCTAAATCTTGAGACATTGCCACTGTATGTACTAGGCAGGGCCGATTTTTGGCATAGGCAGTCGCCTAGGGCGCCAGATCTGGGGGGCGCTGCGCTGGTAGCTCTGGGAGGGGAAAAAACATTTTTGACCGTTGGCGCTCATCCTAATTTTCGGCCTTGATGTAACAACATTCATCATTAAGTAAATGTAACACCCTTTTCACCCCGGTTACACTTTTCATTTTCCCTGTACGATGGGTGCTGTAAGTGATGAAAGTGGGGGATGTTGGCTTATCAGGCGCCCGCAGCTCACAGCCAAAGTGCGAGCATGGGAGCGAGAGAGCGAGCGAGGGAGAGAGAGAGAGAGAGGGCGCACCGGTACCGGCGCTGTTGTTATTCGAATCTGGTGCTAGCTGCGCTAACGGATATAAGAAGAAGATGTTTCTACAACCAGGGTGGAGGAGAGCTCTCCTGTCAGACTGAGAGGCTCAGTGAGGTAAAGGACTCTGAGGGTTTAGATAGTTCACTTTAGTCTAAGTTAACTCAGTGGGTCTCAAACGTTTTGACCACAAATTATGTAAACACATATTTCCAAGGCACTCCTTTATAATTATTAGGATAAATAAAAACAGGTTTGAAATCATTCCAATGTATACTATAGGACAGTAAACCAAAAATATCGTTTAAAGTTGGAGAGATACAAAAATATGCATAAATAAATAAATGTTAACTAGGTAAAATAAGATATGAATGTTGAAAACAACAAAAATAAAATAAGTTACAGGTATTTGTTATTGGCTATGGGTTATTGGTTATGTTAATATACTTATTTGATTATTAAAATGTAAACCGATCTTTTTCATATGGGTGTTTTAGAGTTGTACCCCCTAGATCAGGTCTCTAGTGATTGTGTGCTCAAAGTGCACCAGATTGAAGCATTTTACTTGTTCAAAAAAATCTTCCCGGGGGGGGGGGGGGGGGACACACACCCCCGGACCACCCTAGGGGATGTGACGTCCACCCCCCAATTCAAACATGTTCATACAATACTGAATACATTTGAAGCCATGTTGACGTATATTACCTATGTCAATACGTTTCTGTTTTTGTAGTGTATTTGTCTTTTGTAGAGATCTTTCATTTATTCTTTATATATAAAATCTCGCCTAGGGCGCGAGCTTGGAAATATAATTGGCGGCGATTTCATTTGAACGGGGGGACGGCTCAAAACGAGAAGCATTCGGATCCAAGTAGACGGAAGGAATGAGGTGCGGTCTACAATGACAGAGAAGAGACTGTCAGTGTGGCTGTACTCAGCATTGAATCAAAACGCACTAAAGCTTTGGGTCTTAATCAGTTTGTGAGGCGTTTTGCTGAACAAGATGGTAATCGCCGCATTCAGCTGTAATAGGCAACTTGATGCTCTGCTCACGGATGACTCGATGAGCATAACAAACTGTTAAGATGCTGACCTTGTATGTGTGTATCTTTTTCTTTTTCTTTGTGGGGGTCTGCCCCCACAACTGTTTTAAGTCCTGAGAAAGTCAAATAAGACGGTGTGTCACAGCTACACTGCCCAGCCAAACAAAAGTAACCACTTTGATTTAACTTGATTGTTATTGAGTTAAAATATAAATATTGTGGCTTTCCAAGTTAACATTGATTGATATGACTGCGATTAAATCAGCATACTTCTGCCAGGGGATGCCACCCCTCAAAATCTCCTGCCACCCTCTTGCCACCCCATGAATATTTGTCTAGATCCGCCCCTGTGCTGGGCCCACGTCATGGATGTATAATAAGAACTGGATACAGCGTGGGAGGCGGGGCCTCATTCATTCCTATGAGAGTTGCTCATTCGCGCATGATGATAAAATGGCCCAACTTTTGAGAGAGCGAAACGTCACAGATTACCCAGCATGCCTGAGAAGTACCCGTATGTGCGCTCATAGCGCAACTTTAACCATGCCCCCCAAAATGCTCGTTCACATCAAGCACGTCAATTTGCGTACACGTAACAGCACCGCACGTTCATGACAGCATGGTAATGGTTTGTTATTATGATAGATTTGATATTAACGAGGCGGCAGTTAGCAGCTAGCGGTTAGCTAGTAATTATGCTAATTTACACATCAATCGTTATGTACTTTTATATTACGCTGTAACAGGATCTAGTGATATCCAAGCAACAGAGCTTCATTTAGCATGAAAGAATTATTGCACTGTATGTATATATATATATATATATATATATATATATATATATATATATATATATATATATATATATATATATATATATATATATATATATGCATATGTATGTATATATACAGTGCAATAAGCTTCTTAGTGCAATAAGAAGCTACAGGGACGTTAATCTACGTCGGTAATATTAACTTTATTTAATACAACATTTACGGTACAAGATTTAATCATACAGCCCATGTAGTATAATATTTTACAAATGATAAATTACAGCAAACATGTGCAATATATCCATTATTACAGCTCCGTGGGCTGGCAGTAAGGCGATATGGGTCCGTTCTTATTGTGCATCCATGGGTAAAGATAAACGCATGTAGTGCTGAACACGTAACATGAACGTGCCGGGCGGCGCGGTCCCGTGGGTTAGATGCGCGTTCATAATGCAGAGGGAAATAACTCACAGAATAACGTTATTAGCACATTTTTACAACTTGAGGAACGAATGTTTTTAATAAGGGCTATACAAGTGTTCATACTGGGTAGTTTATTTAGTTTAAAAAAAATTATCCAACGATTTACAGACCACTCTTTTCCCATGTAAGTCAATGGGAAAAAGTGTTTCCGGGCCTGGCAACCAAAAGGAAGTGTAGTATCGCCGTTTGGCCAGCACGAATATTTTCATCTGAGTCCGGCGCACTTCCTGGGGGCTTGGCCCACGTGCCTTAGCACCGCTGCTATGACTCCATCCTAGGGGAAACACTGTAAGCTGACTGGTTGAAGTAACCAACATTTCACTCGTAAACCCACCAGTAGCTGTAGTGTTTGGTTAGAATATAGCTGTAAACTTCCAGCCATCCATAGTACTAATAAGTATTTTAAATTACCTTCAGGGTCAGTAAGCTGGAAGGCATACCACATCCCGTGGTCTGGATTGTCTATCATATCTAGAGACAATGACAAAAGGGGACACAAGAAGGGTTATTGGATTGGACTTGGCATTACCTTTACCCAAATGAGATAAATAGTTTCACTTTACTTACAAATCATCTCGAGTTCTGTGAGGTGTTTAACTGCCAACTCGTTTTCCTAGGTACAGAAAAAAGCGAAATCACTACTACTTCAGCTTGCATTTTCATAGAATATGTACTGTTTTACACTGTTTATCAAACAGAAGAACCTATAATATCAGAGAAGTGTCTGCTTACCTCGCAAATAGCGAGTAGGTTTTCCGTTAACGCCCATTTTGACTGAATGATATCCATGGCCCGCTGCTGTTCCCCGGTCAAACGGCCCCACTTCTCCAGCGTTGTTTTCAGCATTTTAGTCGGTATCTTTCTCATGAGTCGTTGCACTAGGCGTTTCTTAGATTCATCCATCCTTCCTCAGATAATAATGCTATAATATTAGCAGTTTTATTGGATCGTTTTTTGAGTTAATTAAACTGTTGAATCCTTACAGCTTGCAGTGTGACAGGAGAACAAATCCAAACAAACCGCCTACCAAAGAGAACACGAATGGACCAATCAGATATGTCGAGAACAGTGCACGTGACCCCTTTAGCGCCCTCTGTTGTTTCGGAGTGGTATTGCTCCTATCACTGTAATTATTTAATTATATGACTCACATTCTATGCTCACATTAGGAACATCTACACAACGGTGGAAGACATATTTAGACCCTTTACTTAACAAGCATCACTACAATATTCTAAAAATTAGTGATTACTAGTTAAATACTTATTTCACCTATCATTCTGCCGTAAAATAGCAAAAGTGTATTAAGTAGGCTACATGTTTTACAGCAACTGGCTCTGCACGTTTCCCCAGCCATGACATAACAATGCTAATACTGACCAATGTTTACATATTGATTTCATATTTTACACTTACACGTACCTGGTCTTGGTGGGGTTAGAAAACGAGTTTATTCTGATTTTAAAAAGCAGTTCCTAAACTTGTAGTCAGGTTGCTTTAAAATGGTAATAATAAGCCGTAGGGATTGAGAGATCATTTATAGCAGGGGGAAGAAGAAAGTAGAAAGTTGTGATACACAAATCTATTTTAATTTTGTTTTACTTTCTGAAATGTTTGATTGTCTTGTAAATATTTGGTAATTTAAAAAATTTCAGTTTAAGAAGTTTAGATGGAAATAAAGGATTCTTTAGCAATCTGAATAGAAATTAACAAGTAAATATAAATTCCAAAAATGTAGTCAATTGCTATATTTCAAACACAAATAGAAAATAATTTTATTTGATAATTGCAGGGGTACACTAACAATATTGTCAATAATACATATCAATAATAAATCTCTCTTAACATATTTTTTATTAAACTTACAACAATATTGTTAGTTGGAAACATGCAAATAAAGCATACATTTTTGTCATTACATAAACCATTACATGGCCTTTAAATACAAATAAAATAAGACAGGAAACACTGTATTTAGTTTTTACAACAGCACTATTAGCAAAAATGTAATCACAGAGAGAGTTTTTTGGTATACAGTCTATGAGTTGAATCCATAAGTAAAAGCGGAAGTAGGGATATATCTTGGGATATATCTTGTTTCTTCTCTGAACTTCCGTCAGCAGATGTCCCGCCTTTTATGAGAAGAACGCATGCCATTGGTGCGTTGAGAAAAAAGACTGACGCTGATTCGCTGTATAGCATTGTCAATTTACTATCGCCAAACAGTTACGAAAACCAAAAGTGTTGTTGCAGACAGACGTCCTTCAAGTTCTTGCTGTTTTTGTAGGTGAAATCCATGTTAGACAGTTTCAAGACTAGTATAGTTATCTTATATTGTAGTAATCTGCGTTTCTATTCTACGGAAGACCAAAGCCATACGTATATCTTCAGTGGTTGATTGGGTTGATGCTGTGTTACATACGGTTAACGTTAGCAGAGGCCTAGCACTGAGCTAACGTGATAATTCACCAGCGTTTTCTGGGACTTCTCAGATGATACACTCTCCCCACTGGTAAGTGTATCACCTTTACATGCAGCCGGCAGTGCGCTGTGTTATCAAATAGCTTAAAAATAAACCAGTAGACATGATGTAGCATAATGTGTGAGAGAAACTAAAAACACCTAGTGTATCTCTAGTGAAGGCTGAATTGTTATCATGATTCAATAGGTTCAGGGTGAATGCAGGTAGTTGCATTGTTTTATATTCTCCTTCTCTCTGTATGTGTCTGCAGCTAAGTGTCCACTGGAAAAAACAGCATCACAATGACAGCTCAGGAAGGAGAGGGATGGGGAGGCATTAGTATCCTTTAGAAAAAACATGTCCTTTACCTGAGTATAACAATGCTGAGATGACATGGTGGAAAGTGGCACAGAAACAATAAGTCCTTGTTAAAATCGATTCATTGTTTGATTCAATTTTTAAATCAAAAGTTCCAGATGCTTTTATATCATTGTGTATTTGAAATTGACTATGTTTGGCTTTTGGTTTGTTCGCCAGGCAAATCAGACAATTTGGAGATTTCCTTCTGATTTCACAAATGTTATACAGTAGTCACAATCAATACAATTCAATACCAGATATAAAGTTATTAATGAAAATAACCATTGGTTCAAACCTGAGAATGTTAAGCATATTCCTATTCTATGAGAGTACAGCATAAAGTGTGTTTAATGGTAAACGTGCCTCCACCAAATTACGTGTATGACAGTGATTTCAGTAAAATCCCACCGTAATTGTCAACTCAGTGCTCCTCAATCAGTGCTCCTCTTGTTTTGTGGATTTCAGTATTGCCGCAGTGACACAGTAAGACCTTAACTCAGCATGCACCCTGACCTTTCATCTCACCTGCACAATGAAGAGTGTAACCAACTCATCACTCTTCTGAGGCAGTGCCACACAGAGGTATGTCATGCTCCTAAACAATGTTTTTGCTTCATTTACACAGAAAACATAACAATATAAATCTTGTTTTTTTTCTACCCTCAAGCACAATGTCGCAAAGTTCTTTGGCACGTGTAACGATGTGGACCGTGCCATGCGTCAGTGCCTGAAAAAAGAGGTCTGTCAGTTATTTTTAAGCACCTTGTGAATGACCGACATCAAGAAATCTGATTATTGAGCTTTGTTCATTCATTGTTTTCTTTGTTTGTTTACCATTCAACAGAGACTGGATAAGCGGGAACTCAGCAAGCAGCATGCCAAAGACATGAAAAAGAGGCTGAAAGCAGGGATAATAGAGGATCTCTGAAGGACATTTCAATGCAACTTCAACACTGCCACTACCAGTTTGAAGGAGTGAGATAATGAGACACTGAATTAAGCATGACACTGTGTAACAGGCCTTCCCTATGGTCTCATGTCAAGACAGAGGAAAGGTGACAACTTCTGTCTCTTTGAAAATTCAAAGAAGTGTGGATTATATAAGTAACTAGAAAATGCATTTCCTGCAGAAAATGCGTGCGAATGCTGTAAACTGTGAACATTTGTGGCTGAATTTAGCTGAAAAAGCTGAATATGTTATTAGCTGAATGGTAGCTGCTTTTAGCTACAAAAATGCAGAAAAAGCTTAATATTTAAAAGAAAAGGTTTAAAAAAACATGTATAGCCTTGATGTAATGAAATAGCTGAATAATGTAATAGTTGAATGGTTTCTGCAGCTGAAAATAGGCTGAAGGAGTTAAATATCAGATGTAAGTAGTAGTGAATGAATTTGTATTAAGATGAGAAAAGAAAGTAAAAAGGCTTGGGAAAGCAGCAGAATATTTGAACTGCAAACTTTTGAACTAACTTTGGTGAATTATCTGTCGCCATAGTAACGGCATTTGATGACACCCCATAATACGCTTAGATGTGTTTGAGCACTTTTTGAACATTTTCATAGGAGTAATACATTACATTAGGAGGTTACATTACTCTCTCTTCTCTTGATCACCCTCTCAATCTTCTATCGCCCTCTCTCTCTTCTCTTGATCGCCCTCTCTCTCTCTTCTCTTGCTCGCCCTCTCTCTCTTCTCTTGATCGCCCTCTCTCTTCTCTTGATCGCCCTCTCTCTCTCCTCTTGATCGCCCTCTCTCTCTCCTCTTGATCGCCCTCTCTCTCTTCTCTTGATCGCAATCTCTCTCTTCTCTTGATCGCCCTCTCTCTTCTCTCTCTCTTCTCTTGCTCGCCCTCTCTCTCTCCTCTTGATCGCCCTCTCTCTCTCTTCTCTTGATCGCCCTCTCTCTCTCCTCTTGATCGCCCTCTCTCTCTCTCTTCTCTTGATCGCCCTCTCTCTCCTCTTGATCGCCCTCTCTCTCTCCTCTTGATCGCCCTCTCTCTCTCCTCTTGATCGCCCTCTCCTCTTGATCGCCCTCTCTCTCTCCTCTTGATCGCCCTCTCTCTCTCCTCTTGATCGCCCTCTCCTCTTGATCGCCCTCTCTCTCTCTTCTCTTGATCGCCCTCTCTCTCTCCTCTTGATCGCCCTCTCTCTCTCTCTTCTCTTGATCGCCCTCTCTCTCCTCTTGATCGCCCTCTCTCTCTCCTCTTGATCACCCTCTCCTCTTGATCGCCCACTCTCTCTCCTCTTGATCGCCCTCTCTCTCTCCTCTTGATCGCCCTCTCTCTCTCTTCTCTTGATCGCCCTCTCTCTTCTCTTGATCGCCCTCTCTCTCTCTTCTCTTGATCGCCCTCTCTCTCTCCTCTTGATCGCCCTCTCTCTTCTCTTGATCACCCTATCACTCTTCTATCACCCTCTCTCACTTCTCTTGATCGCCCTATCTCTTCTCTTGATGTGTCTGTGAGAGAGAGGGAGAGTGTGTTTGTGTGTGTGTGAGAGAGAGAGACGGGGTGTTTCTCAATCGCTTGCGATTGTTTCTCAATCAGAGTACGCTTGCTTGGTAGCACATGTCTGCCGAGCATCTTGCTTCAGAAGCGAGTCAAGAATACTTCCTGCCATTCGGAAAACAAAGAGTGGAACAGGCTAGCAAGTGTGCAGGTGTGCGTCATATGAGAGGCCCCGCCTCTTACATCTTCCGCCACAGATTTGGGGAAATTGGTCCGTGCACAAAGCATTGTGGGGATTTTAAGACCGCAAAGTCTACTCATGTGCACACTCGATATTTCTCCAAACGGAGTACGCCGGGCTCGGTAGATTTCCAAGTATGCTGGAGATTGGAACAGTACTTCGGCGGCACTCGATGACGTAGTATGCTTGAAATAGTGGCTCTGAAGCAGCTTTACTCGCGATTGAGAAACACCCAGAGTGTGTCTGTCTGTCTGTGAGAGTGTGAGTGTGAGTGTGAGTGTGAGTGTGAGTGTGAGTGTGAGTGTGAGTGTGAGTGAGAGAGAGAGAGAGAGAGAGAGATTTGATTTTTAAAAAACACTTTTATTTAGATTTTCACCAAACAATTAAAACTATTTTCTTATATACATTGAGAGAAGAATTCCCCTTTTTCCTCACGCAAAAACAGAGTTAAAAGCAAGCTCCTCCCCCACCACCGAGCACACAGCTGTAGTGAAACACCACCGGTTTAAAAACTCTTCCATACTTCTCATCAGACAGTGAAATCTAAAATCTCCGACCGTTCCTCACACACTCACTCAGAGAGAGAGAGAGAGAGAGAGAGAGAGAGAGAGAGAGAGAGAGAGAGAGAGAGAGAGAGAGAGAGAGAGAGAGAGAGAGAGAGAGAGAGAGAGAGAGAGAGAGAGAGAGAGAGAGAGAGAGAGAGAGAGAGAGAGAGAAGAGAAGAGGAGAGAGAGAGACTCTGTGTGTAAACAGCATTCGCTAATGAACAGTTACGGAACGTCTACACAGCAGCGTTAAAAAAATCTTGAAACGCTTCTGCCCATAGAGTGGCGAAGTCCCTCCCACTTACTTCCGGGATATGGGACCTTATTTCGGAAAAATTATGCATTGAAGTCAATGGGGAGAGAAAACTTATCTTTCGATCCCGTTTGAATTGTGCCATGAATTACACATATGATGTTTGTCAATCTTAAAAAATCATTTCCATGTCAAAAAAGTCACAGTTTGTCGTAAAACTGTTGAAATATAAGACTATGAAAAATACGTAACTAGAAAGACTACAAATCCCAGAGTCGCGTAAGTGATGTCACAATTGTTTACCTCCACCATTCAGATACCTAAGATCAGCGCAATATAGATATAATCTATCTATATGGCGCTGGCTAAGATAAGATAACTTTAACAAGATGCCTGTGTGCTTAGTACCAGGTTGTTATTATACCAGCAATGGGTCTTGCTCGTTCTTTCGCTTCCCGTCTGATGAAAGGACCAGGAGTGGCTTGATCAAGTTAGCTACCTAGCTAGTAGCTAGCACGTTAGTTAGCATTACAGCCTTGTCATTTTTATTAGCCTTAACATGAAGTAACATTAAGTAACCCAAAATGTTAAACAGTAAGAGTAGTAGTCATATTTCGTGAACCCTTTGAATAGTACTGTCACCGGTGTGATCATTCTATAATACACCATTTAATTCCGGGGGAGAAATGCTAACGCTAACGTTAGCATCGGCGATCTTTTCTACTTCATGCTATCTGCACAAATGGTTGACATTAAACATTAAAACGACCAGGCAGTTCAGAGAGAATCAAAGGAAGGCAGGCAGGCAGCTTTGCATGACATTCTTCTGGACGTGTTTCATTGTGGTGATAGTGAGGGTAGTCAATCGTTTGTTGACAAGACAGTAGTGACGGCCATCTTGGCGACGTGTGTGGTTGACCAGAGATGTAGTTCATTTAGCGTTTCACACAAACAAATGTGTTACTTCACAGTTTTACGACACATTTCTTTTTTTTTGACTTGCAAAATTATCTTTTAAATTGACAAACATCATATGTGTAATTCGTGGCACAATTCAAACGGGATCGAAAGATAATCTTTCTCTCTCCATTGACTTCAATGCATAACTTTTCCGAAATAAGGTCCCATGGAGGTCCACCGGAAGGGGAGGGACTTCGCCACTCTATTCACTTTGAATGGGGTGACGTCACTTTCCCTCACTTTTCGCCGAAATGGATTGTGGGCAGGCGAGCGGAGATTTTCAGGATTTTGAGGATTCACGGACCGTCTCCACAGCAGCGTTAAAAAAATCTTGGAGGTGGGCGTATCTGAGGCTTGGGGATTTTTTTGCGATCAACCAATCACATGAATCTCCCGCCCGCGACATACGAAGCCAAAAAGCCCGAAGTAAACTGGATATAAACTCCCCAAAACAGGCGAAAACATACCACTGTCTCTGCCACCTCCCTCCATGCCTGGCTCCTCCGGTTTATATCCCGGTAGGTCTGGTCATAAAGCACCGGGTGATTGATTCGCTACCGCTAATTTCTCCTCCATTTTTTGGAATATGAGGAAATGACCTGCGGTATGTCTCTCCCAGCATACACGCCGTTTGATTGGCTAGAGCTTGAACTGCCAGATTTGCGTACACGGGATTTGATTGGCTGCCGCTTCCACCTCAGCTTCAAAAGTTGAACATTGTTCAACTTTGAATCTTGAAAATCCTGAGAATCTCCGCTCGCCTGCCCACAATGCATTTCGGCGAAAAGTGAGGGAAAGTGACGTCACCCCATTCAAAGTGAATGGGCAGAAGCGTTTCAAGATTTTTTAACGCTGCTGTGGAGACGGCCCGTCAAAGTTGAACAATGTTCAACTTTTGAGGCTGAGGTGGAAGCGTCAGCCAATCAAATCCCGTGTACGCAAATCTGACAGTTCAAGCTCTAGCCAATCAAACGGCGTGTATGCTGGGAGAGACACCGCAGGTCATTTCCTCTTATTCCAAAAAATGGAGGAGAAATTAGCGGTAGCGAATCAATCACCCGGTGCTTTATGACCAGACCTACCGGGATATAAACCGGAGGAGCCAGGCATGGAGGGAGGTGGCAGAGACAGTGGTATGTTTTCGCCTGTTTTGGGGAGTTTATATCCAGTTTACTTCGGGCTTTTTTGCTTCGTATGTCGCGGGCGGGAGATTCATGTGATTGGTTGCTCGCAAAAACTCCTCAAGCTTCAGATACGCCCACCTCCAAGATTTTTTTAACGCTGCTGTGTAGACGTACCGTTAGAACTGACTGAGCATGTCAGTTGGAGTGATGACATCATCGTGTTTATAGTTGAGCTAACGAGCTGCCTAGCGATCAAAGGTTTCATTGTTCTGAATGAGAGATAAACCTCTTACTTGTGAACGTTTTGTCGAAGAACCGTAACAGATATCTGTGAAATTTCAAAACGTGAAGCATGTCAAGGATGTTGAGTATCTGAAGTGTAATTTTTGTGTACTTTCGGGTTAATAATGTGGCCTTTTTGGCAGTTTAAGAAAGGTGTGCGGCTGCTGCTGTGAGGAAATATCTGCCTGAAATTACAATGGGCTTTAATGGAGACATGTTGAACGTTTTTGTCTCTTCATGCCCTCAAGAGGCATTTTGATTAATATTTCTTCTTAATTGTTTTTAATTTTCCAACCTAGGAGAGGTTTTCCTACGTTTTTCATGAAAA